CAGAACTGCATTGCTAAGGAAGTTCAGCTGAATTTGTGGGTAATGAAGATATTACACATAAAGCTTCAGAATACTCTACCCCGGCCTCCTCCCAAGGGGAGAGTTCTCTTTCTACTGATCTCAGGGAATGTAATATTGTTATAATTTCATCTCTAGAAGTTCAAATGGTAAATACCTTGGCAGGAAATCACTGCAGGTGTATTAGCCATTTCAAGAACTAGAATGTGACACTTCTTCAAGATGCCTTACACCCTAAAAAATGCACAATGTGATTTGCTAAAGAATTTTTCAGATCTCCAAGTGGAGCTCTCATCGCGCATCGAGGGAGACACTGGGAATTAAAGAAGACACAATATTTGACTGCCCACAGAAGGGGGTCACTGAGGCAAACAGGTCTAAGGTAGCAAGAAAAACTGCAGTACAGCCTGTCAGCTCCACTGAAACGTCTCTGACATGCATTCCCACACGAGCATTTTGTCACAAAGTTTTCAGCCAAGTCTAACGAGAACTTCATTGGGGTGAAAGCAAAAAGGAGTCACTCCCAACACTTTTCCATTAAATTAGCAGCTAAGAATTTGATTAACGGAGGCTTTTTCTGTAAAGAAGTTCACAACGAATCCCTTCAAGGTTCTAGACACATAATTAACATGAACAGCCACAGAAATGCAGCAGATCAATGAAAAAAAAATACAGAAAACTAAATCAAGAGGGGCAAGGTAATATTTATTTAATTTCTGTCCATGGGCTTCTGGCTCCACAGGAGTTTCTAAACCTGAGTAAGAAAAGCTTGAGGCAGGAAGGGGAAAAACAAAAATAAAGAAAGGAAGGGAGAGGCAGGACAGAAAGTGCAACTGTAAGAACAACCAAGCTACAACTTAAACTGGGGAGGGCAGGGTCTGCCTGATGTCAACAGATGGATGTCAGAGTGTAAAAGAAAATATATTTCCTGACTCTTCTACAGGCAGCATTTAAATGTTCAGCATCCCTGTTCATCCAAGAGCTTTTGAGTCTTGTGGAGTGAATTTTACTGGCCCTTTACGGACTTTTTTTTTTCTTCTTTTAAACAACAAACAAAACCCGAGAAGGCTGAGATGAGCTCCACAAGAAAGACAGGAACGTACCACCTATTCTGTGATCGCAAAACTGGTGGAGAGGAACTGGCACATAGTAAAGTGTCCGGCTGAAAGGTCTCCAAAACCTCTTTACATTTGGGGCATAAATTAGGGCTGGACTTTAGACATGCTCTTCCCGAGGTCTTCTGCATTCTTGAGTTGAGTGTGTTTGTCTACAGACATGAGGAGACTGAGATCAGAAGCCCAAAGAAGGAGTCAATGATTGTCCCTGCCCTGAGACCCGAGAGGTGTTCTCAGAATTCGCTCCCAAGATCCCAGGCATCCCACTGCATCTCCTTTGGAATGAGCTTCATTAAAACCCCAGATCTGCCTCTGATTTAGACTTTTTAGACACCCTTGAAAGGTATTTGCTATGAGTAAAGCTTAAGGAAGGAATTTCACTGCTATAACGCTAAACTGTTTTGCAGACTGGAAGTGAATGGGCCTGGGAAAAGCAGAACAGATGTTAAAATATTCAGAATAAAGAAGAGAAAAAAGCCAGGAAAGTGATGCTGAAGAAAAAATAACCAGAAGACAGAAGCTCACCAAGCAAAACCTATGAGTACAACTCATGTATTTAGATTGGAAAGGCAGAACAAGACATTTGAGAACTGTATAATCAAATCTGCTTTCTATTTCTTCTTATTTCCAGTTCTTATATGATATATCCTCCCTACCTGGATGGTTTGGAGTAAAATGTGCTTCTGTGTTTATACACAAGTACGTTTTCCTCCCCAGGAAGAGGCAATAGTGCACAACAGACTGTCTGCAGAGAGCTATTATATATAAAACCATATATATTGCACACACACGTGTTAGTAAATGCCAAAATAAAGTTTCTACACAGGTGCTGTAGCAGGTAAATAACAGCTTTCATTTCCTGTGATTTATAAGGAAAAAAAAAAAAGGGCATTAACCAAACATTTTATTATTACCATAGCAAAATAATGCTAAGTGATATTAATTATTAGAAGTAAGAGCAACCACATACTTATCAACTGATCTTCAAGATAGAGGACATCTATCTAGGAATAATGAGGAGTTTCAAAGCCAGGCCCCATTATATCATCTAATACATATATATATACAAAATATGACTCTAGTTGCACAGAGAAATAGTTTTTCAATAATTCTGGTGCAGAACCCAAGGATCTGGATGTCATCATGGGTATGGACCAACAGGACAGATGTTTCTGAGAGAAGCTTGCCAGTTTGTGGGAAATGTTCACACTTACACATATATAATGTAATAAACACAAGACAACTTGAAATAAGAATTCTTGTCACTGAAACTGTTGAAGAAAAGACTTTTTTTTTTTTAAAGGTGGGACTGACATTTTCTTACTACAAAAATTTCTACTAATCTAAATCACTCCTGTGCTGCCTTCTGCAAGTAGTAAAAGCACTTCAGACTCTCTGACTCTCTATCCCAAGTTATAAAACATACATTTGTGCAAGTTTTCATAACTTGCTATTCTTTATTTTTAAAAAATAGGCTTATTAATTCAGTACCAATTTAAAAGACTAAGGCATAATGGTAGGATGTGAGAGTAAACAGGGAAATAATTAACTGTATATGGCACACATACAGAGATCTCACTAATTGTAAACCAATGTTTCAGTTTTAAATAATCTGGTCATTTCACTTATTTGGAGTCAATAACATAATCCATTACTGTAACACGTCTTCCATCTTTTTTTTGTTCAAGTAGGATTTAGATTCTTTCATTTCTATTTGGGAGGATGGAAAAAGAACTCACAAGCAGATAAATTTTTTATGGAAAATAGATTTTTAGCATGTAAGCCACCACAGCATTATGATAATTGTGTTCAGTTTATGCCTCGTGGAATTATAAGGCAGAAACTGAAAATGATTGTGCATGCATAAAAAAGTATTTTCCCAAGTTAAAAAATTACTCTGGCAATTGTAATGGGACCATTACCTTAAGAAGTTACTATGATACAAGAGAAATTCTGAAGGACTGTCCCCCTTCTGTTTTGCCAGGGTCTTTCTCCTTAGAATTAGGCTGACATATGTAACTTATTTTCTGTGGTTTTTTGCATGAAATATATGTTCTGCCACATTTTTTCTTTGCTGTTCCTTTTTCACTTGTTCCACATATAGACATCAATTCATACAAGGAGGTACTTGGGACACCTCTTCTTCTGTTTTTTTTGAGGGTTTTTTTAACAGAACTTGCAGAATTTAATAATATTATTAAATAATTTCTGAAAACAACAATCTTAATCATCAATGAACAGGTGTCAACTCCTACCACATGGCATAATTGTAGAATCACTGAAATTATACAGGTTTTAAGTCCTATAGGGGTCACTGGAGAAAGCTAATAGAGTAATAATACAGTTTTGGGTGTACTAAGCCAGCCTAAAACAAATGCAAGTGTTGATCTCAATTCAACTGGAACACATTGGGTTGCAAAAAAAAAAAAAAGGCATGTATTTGGCTGTGTCCCGCTGTGTAAAGAACATACAAAGTAGGAGGAACCATCTCAGTGGCATCGAATAGGGCGGCCAAATATCAACAACATTAAAAGTCAGCTACACACCTCAAGTGTGCCTTCTCACAAGTGTCCAAAGGATTCCAAAGCAAGGCTAATAAATCTACTCATGTACATGATTAGAACGTGTAGAAGGAAGAGCAAAAAACTTACCGTGATCCAGAGAAGAGTTTCAAAACGAGGTTCAAATCAGCCCAAACCAAAACACAACTGAGTTTTAAAACCGAAGAATATGGACTTGCTTCCACCAAAATTCATGGTAAGTTTCCATTACTATCAGTTTTGCAGGAATGACCTCTAATACTGTGGTTTAGTATCTGATCTATATTACTGTTATTTCCTTTGCACAATTCGATTTGGAATGTGGTAGCATGATATGAAAAAGGTGTTTTGTTTGCAAACTGGGAAGGAAATCTGGTGTGGACTAGATGGCACAATAAAGAAGGCCAGCAAAAGGGAATTTGACACTCACCATTCTGGCAGAACTCAAATTTCTCAAAACTAGAAGATTAAAAATACTTTGATGCTGTTTTTTTGAAATTAAAATCAAAAGGAAGAAAATCTAAGTGTTAAACTGTGCCAGGTTACTGAGGTCTTGGATTAATGATCATTACCTTATTCAGTCATTTGAACCTACTAATAAAGCTGGAAAAAATGGAAAGAAGCATAGTAGACTCCTAACACATTACTATGGAATATATAAGATTAGCATATTTTCTATCATTATTACCATAGACATAAACGGAGATTAAGAGGGTCAAAATTAAAGTTTGGAAAGTATAGCTGTGCTAAATTCAGCCAGATAGTAATGCTAGCAAATATTTATACTAATGATTAACTTCGTGCTGTGGGAATTAATACTCTACATACGAGTCTGGGTTTGGAAATATCTGTTAATCAAATTAAGTACTATGGACATTAATGTTTTGCTCATCTTACTTGAGTAATATATCTTAGTCGTGGCTTGGCAACTCAACGATCATGAAGTCTTTGATCTGTTTCCTGACCTGTCAAACAGTATCAGCCAAAACAAAGTGGAAGAAAGGCTGTTTTAATGCAGTGGATGTTCTTTCAGGACAGACTGAGAGGAAGTCATCATGTCCATTTCTGAAGACTTTTCTTTTGGTTTCCATTTATCAAAGAGAGAGCGAAATTCAGTGCCCTAAAGTCAGAAGGATCTACCACATACTAATAATTCCTTGGCTCAGTTAACACACTGTAGGTTATTTATTCACCAACAGTGCCCTAAAAATGAGTCAGTGCTGGTTAACAACAAAATACTTTCTCCTCTTAATCAGTGATGTAATGCTCAAAGTGGAAGGCAGCAGATACTGGCAATTCACTGCAAAGTAAAAAATAAAACCTTTACCCTAATAAAGAGGATCTTCTCTCCAACTCTGTATCTTCCCTGTGAAAGACGCTCCACGCAGAACTTATTGGGGCATTTACAAGGTGGATCTTCAGAAATGTGTTTGACCTGGGAAACACAGAAATTATTTAGAGAAACTGTTTAAAATAGCACATGTAGCAATGTCCTTAAGACATTAGTCATAACATAAGTCTTAATTGATGATATTTTTCCTAGTTTTTCTTAATTTTCCTAATATTTATGTAGTCCCAGAAAGCACCCTATGGAGCTTCCAATATCACCAATTATTTAGGAGTTGTTATGAGTTAAAAATGCAGATGAGCACCACACAGCTCAACATTAAATTTGCTCTGTTTAACTGAAGTCAAACAGTTTGAAGGAATCTTGATTTGAATTTTAAAATTAGTTATTCAAGTGAGTTTATCAGCATGGGTGATAATTCACTATTTCTGGTGAATCAAGCTATTTAGACAGCCACTGTGCAACAGGAACAACTTGTACGATGACTTAAAATCCAAGTGCAGGTTGCTGAGGATGAAAAAGGTGTTATTGCTGTATTTCTTGGAATGTGGTACTAAGACTGGATTGTGCTTAGGGACCTATTTGGCAATGGCCCTCCGAATAGTGTTCAATTATCAGGGATTTCTTGCACAATGCCACGTGGCATTTATCACCTCTGGAGACACTGGAGATTCGAAGCTGAAAATAGATAGTTCAAACTGTGCCTTAATGCTGTGCCTATCAGAGTTCATCTCAGCAAGCAGAAATCTGCAGTAGCTGGGCCTAACAGGTTCAAAACCGTGTTTTGAAACTGTGTAAGCAAAGTAGAGCCATCTTCAGCCTCTGGAGAACGAGAGCAAAGAGATTTATACCGGTGTGAAACAGAGAATAATAAGACCTTCACTGCTGATCCTGCTGTTGAGGCTTCCATTGCCTTACTATCCCAAAGGACACAGAAGTATTACTGAGTGGAATTTGGAAATCAAATAAGGAAGCAGAGGGAAGAATTATATTCTATTTTATTCTGTGTCTGGACTATACGAGCACTGCTGCTGTTTTATGGTGCGAGTGTCTGGGGCAGACTGGGTCAGGAATCTAGCTGGATGGATTCCATTCTGTTTCTATCCCTACTGCTTTCTAAATTAAAGGAGGTGGTCAGAGACAACCTTCATGCTCTCTGCTCTGCTTCTGCAAGGTATGCAGTCACCATGCTCCTTCTGCACAGAACTGTTCTCTCTCAATCCTGTTGAAACATGAGCCCTTTTGCGAAGTTAAGGAAGAAATACGAAACAAAAAACTTTAAATGTAATTATATGCATCAAAGAAATAAAAAAAAAAACCAACCTAAGAGTGTTTCAATAAAATGAACGAACATTATATTCCATCTGCTCTTTGTAACAGGGAAGTGGCACACGGATTTTTCAAGAAGTGCTTTGTAACTCCCAGGTGGCACATCTACCTCACAATGTAGCAGTTGCCATGGTAACTGCTTCTTTTTACAGGCTAGATTTTGTACTTTTAAAATTTAACCTCTTCGTGGTCTCAAGATGTGTCCTTTTCATCTGAATCCAGCTGTTTCGAATGAACCCCTATGGGTCTGCAGCAGAGAAGTGAACACTCAAGTATGCTGCCAGGAGCTTAATGAAATTCAAAACAAGATGCTTTTGTTCTAACAATGAGGAAAACAATGCCTGGGTTTTTTTTACAATGTGAGAAACACGCAGAACAGCAGCATAAAAATTAGGCTGAAATGTCTTAGAAGTGTTTGTTAGCATTCAATACAGGCCGGTAGGAGCCAGATCGCCCAGTCCTGACTCAGTCCTTCCTCAGACAAAGCACCGAAGTGGGAGTTGATGAATAAGAAGTAAAGGAGCAGTTAAGAAGGGAATGGTGACCCCAAGCACAGAGCTGGGCTAAGCTGCAGAGCTCCTACACAGTGTGAGGAGCTGTTTGTTTGTTTGTTTTTCCAAGTTTCAGACACAAATAATTATGGTCAAAAAGAAATTAACCCTATCAGCCTGCAAATGTTTAAGATACAGTGGAATGTTAAACTCAGGTTTGTGTGTGCTTTGGAAGTAAGTGCATATCAGAACAGACCAGAAAGGAAGAAGCTTCCCCCCACAACTTACAGCATCATCCAGCAGTTTCCCTGTGCTCTTTTTCCCAGGAGACTTCGTTGGTGACGGTGAAGGAGATGGAAGGGGAGCTGAAAGTGTTTCCTCCTGCTCAATTTCTTTCTCTAACTTTATTAGTCCAGGAGGCTCCACCCCAAACCTTTTGGAAACATGCAAACAATATATTACTAGTTCGTATAAAGTATTGCACATTTTAAAACAAAATGGTGCCTTCATTAATAAGTATGTATAAAATATATCAATCACTACTGCCATTGTTTCAAATTAATAGAAAAAATTAATTTAGATGGAGTCTCGCAGTTAATCAAATTTACAGGAAATACAGAGTTTTTTCAACTTTGTTGTCTGATAACATGGTGAATTTTATTTGCCAACATTGAACAGAACCCAGAAAAATGGAGAGATTTCTTTCTTTCAGAGAAGGACTTCAGCTTGGAAAAGTTACCATGCCAGGTAGACTTCTCATAGCAAACTACTTGAATAAATGAAACCATACTTTCTTCTGTAGCAGAAAAATCCACAGCCCAGATGCAGAACTATACTGACTTATCTAGGTAAAGATTTGGACAGTAAAATATTGAGCAGCAACAAATATGTATCATGAAAATCTAAGCTAAGTACCATAATAATGCTAGAAGTGTACAGAGAAAAGGCACAAGCACACATACCAGCTTTTGTGTTTTTCTGATAACAGTTAATTCAGTCACACAGCATAGTAAATTAATATAAAGAAAACTAAGAACCAAATCTCTGCTTGTGTTGGCCTCTAACTGGTGCAGTCTCCCTAATGAAAAGTCAGCCAACACCGAGGAAAGCACTTATATACAATCCATTGACTTCCTGTCTGTCTGCAGATGCTGACAGGCTGTAAATCATTAAATTCCTACTGGGCTCTAAGCCTACTCCTGCATACAGCCTTACTCATCAAATAAAACTCCTTCACTCCAAGCAATGCTCCTTCTTTGCTTCTACTGCTTTTCATTAATTTCCACTTTTTGTCTTCGGGACAGATTTTTAAAGCTCCCCGTACTTCCAGTATTCTGAATTCCTCTGGTGACAAGTTGGAAAATAAAATCAATTAATAAACACACAGGTTTTTGGTTTTTTTGGGTTTTTTTTCACATACTGTATCAAACTGAAGCAAATTTGCTGGAAAGCTCAAATTGTTAAACCCACATCTTTTCTGTGAAGGGTAGAGGTGCAAATTCTGCTCGGGAAGGTATGCTGAGAATTTCCTTTTCTGCTCCTTTTCTAGCCTGGCCTCTCACAACTACAAATGAAGCAGCACTGGACTGTAACATGATCTCCTCTAGACTTCTTAGAGCACCACTTTCCATTTTTAGTAAGTTAAAACTGAATACAATAGCAGAGAGATCTTGAAATTGCTCAACAGTAATTCCAGAATACCTGTGGGGGTTGTTTAACTGCCCAGAGTTTAATAGTTACCCAAGAACTTCCTTTTTTTATGCAGAAAAGATAATTTAGCTGTTTTCCATTGTACAGTCTCTGACTTTGAAATGCTTTGGGAGAATGCTGGACCTGTGCAACCCACTGCAACGTTCCTGTGTATTGTCAATTTTATCCTGCAGGACACTTCCCTCTCTCATAAATCTTCTCACTGTATCCACAAGACACCTGCCAGTGCACACAAGGGCCCATTTTAGCTGTTGAAACTTTGCAGATGACCTCAGAATTTTGTTTTCACAAACAACTGAAGGCCAGGATAATTTATCAGGCAATTCCATTTTTATTAGTAACTGGGCTTTGAACTGCCACTCCTCGAGCCAAGTGGTCACACCAGTTTCCCACTCGCTGTGCAGTCCATCCATCGAGTCCATCTGTCTCTAATTTGGACGCTCTGAGACAACACGCTAAAAGCATTGCCAAAGCAAAGGTAAACTATCACCTGTCTCCCCTCCTCCACAGAGTATCTGTTTGTATAGGTTCAAGTTTAGAGGAACAGAGCTCAGTTCTATAATCCTCCTCAGACAATCCTCATTCTTGCTCATTTGTGCCTCCATCATAAACCTATTTGCATTTAAATAGAAAGGCTTAGGTCGACTTATGGGAGGTACAGACGCTGAAGACTCAGAGTAATCTAGCCGGGCAAAGTGTGCCAGGAGCTGAATCCTCGTGATGAGTAAGCCACTTTGAACCTATCTTTCTGCTTCTAAAGCAGAAATGGGAAAAGTAAGAGGTTATTCAGTGTCTCTTTTCGTTCTTTAAAAACAGACTGAGGCACCCTTTCTCGAAAGCAGACCCCCAAGAGTGCGAACAGACGCAATTTGCTTTACAGGGCGAGCAGACATCTGACTTCTCTCCTCCTTAAAGCAGCACAACAATGCCAGTTTAATGTGTGCTTTCCTACCCTTAGTGGAGGCAAGTATCAATTCTCCTTTCCCATAGAGTTCTAGTTTACCTCAGCTCAAAAAAACCCAACAAACACTGGGCTCCTGTATTTAGTTTTTGATTATGTTTCACCTGATGTTTCACTTCAACAGGTTTTTGTGCACCTTCGAAACGTGCAAGATTACAAACAGGTGTTTGTGTGCTCCTGAAGAGGTACCAAACAGAGCAGGAACAAGTAGGCAGACACATTATTTAACCCCTAACCTATAAACAAAATTTAAATATAGGAACATAAATAGAGACACAGAAACACGATATATAAACCGCATTCATGATATATGGTAATACACATGTATTGTAAATATAAAATAAAACACAAATATTTTAAAGGCAAAGGGGTAGAAATGCATAATAAATGAAAACATATTTGTTTTCATTATTATTTATTTTGGACTTTTTTTTTTATATTTTGTTTTGGGGGGATTTTTTTGTTTATTTATTTGTTCAGTGTTTCTTTTCATGTTTCACTCACTCCCTCATAGATCTGTTGAGAAATCTTCCTGCAAAATGAGATTAATCTAACTCAACCCACTCCAGCAGAATCCAACACTGCCACTGACATGCATTCCCATAACCAACCTGGGGCAGATATTCCTGACAGTTGGGTGCTGGGAAGTCTCTCCTCAAGCTGGGGATCTTGAAAGCACTTTTTTTTTTCCTCAGGTAAATTAAGATTCATTACACTCCATTTCATTAAGCACCTACTTTCTCATTCACAGGAAGGTAAGATATTTACTTTTTTTCCCATTTGGACTGAGCCCAAGTGTCAGAGACAACAAAAATTCCAGAAAACCGGAAACCAGACGTTTTTCTGGTTGTTGCTGTTCCTGTGCAAGCTGCCAGCAAGGGCTTCTCTGAAACTTGACCAAGGGACAAATGTCTAATTAAGCAGGTTCCCATGTGAGTTCATTCATAAAATATGAATACACATAAACACAATTATGACATGGCCAACTCTAATTCTTAAGCTAGGAATAAACAGGGGTCTCCTTCACACTGACTGTCACCACAAGGAATTCTTCTGAAATTAATGAAACTATCTGAATAGTGAGACACTCCACTTGGATACACATGGGTGAGCACAACTGCAATTTACACGCAAGGCTGGGCAGCAGCACTGCTGTTCATGTATTTTTTAGCAAATTTGATGCACTCTGTTGGTTAAATCTGCATCTGCAAAAAGGGAAAACTCATGTTCTAGTTACAGTCATTTTGATTGTCTAGCAAAAGTCAGTGTTGTCTTGACATCAAAGATAAACATCACACAATGTACTGAAGGTCCAGCATGGCTAGAATCATCTAGGTCAGATTTAGGTCATGTGAAGATCAATTTATTACCAGTAAAGTTAATTAAATCACAGTTGTTTATAGAGAGATCTGGCTGTTAGAAGGAGAGCCAGCTCAAAGCTTTATTTAGAAACAAAAAAATTTGATTCTTTCCTCTCCTGACACAAGGATAGCCAACAAATACCTTCACTGAAGTGATGCTACAGAGATTTCATTATATTTGTTAACAATGGCCCTCAAGATATTCCTGAGTGACATCAAGACAAGCATTATCCTTGAACCTAATGAGCACAGAAGTTAACTTGAGATGTGCTGATTTATCAAGTCTCTCAACAGCCACTGCTGTCAAGAATGCAAATATTTCATCATGCTTCAAATATTTTCACCCACCTTGCTGCAATCCTTCCAAGCTCCAGCAAACAAAGACACACCTCTCTTGGCTGCTTGTGGAGCACTGGGAAAGGAAAATGAAGATGGAAAACATTGATAAATAAAAGCTGTTTTAAAGATTTAAGTGATGGAATGGAAGCAAACCATCAACATATGTAACTCTTGACTCTGATAAGACTTAGTTTTCTTTGGCTTGCAGTGGAGTTTTACTGGAATAAAAAGGATGGGGTTGAGTGGTTCTCAGAGTGCAGAAGGTTTAGGAAGTTCCCTTTAGTTATCTAAATTACTGAGCAATTATTTGGCCTAATTGGTAATCTGCAAGCAATTCATAACTATTTAAAAACAATCAAGAACTCTGGCAGAACACTTAAATTAGTCAAATGTTAAAAATAACATTAGAGCGATACTTTTCTTTCTGCAAACTAACAGAATTCATATCCTTGAGATCACTATTTGTCTTAGCCAATTGAAATCACAAAGATAACAAAATTGCATTAACAAAGATGTATATTTTTTATACATCTCCTCTTAAAGCAAATGTGGGACTGGGATGCTTTAGGAATTCAGTTCATCACGGTCAAAAATCCCAAACAGACTTCTTTATATATACATATATACAAGTTTCCATGCCTGGATTCCACATAGAATATGTAGGTTTAAAAGCTTCAGAAGCAGCAAGGACACAGCAGGAACTTCTGAAGGGCAGGGAGGAGTGTGTGGTGGTGAAACATCCACACATGGACCTGAAGGTCTCCATCCCTTCTGATGGGCTCAGATAGCTGGTTCAGCCGATGTGAGGGGCAGCTGTCACGTCTTAGAAGGGCTCATAAGCCATCAAAGGTACCCCAAGATTCACTTCTGGGGCCTTCCACCAGAGGACTGCACGTGATCCACAGTGTTGCCTCAGGCTGTGTAAGACTCCCTCCCACCCAGGGGAGGTACCTGGGCTTTCCCCCCTGAACCTGACCTATATCAACCCGTGGAACTCTGTGTTTCACGGGCTTTCCTCCACCTCCCCACAGATCAAGACTGCAACCATCACTTCGACCAGCAGACACCTAAATTGCCACAATCATGTCTTGCCACTGGATCCGTTAAGTGGTGGTATTTTCCCTCTCTGCTAACCACTCTTATCCTTTCCTTCTCTTTCTTTTTCTTACATATTTTCTGAAGTGATATCTTTATACTTCTATACTGTTGCATTTCTATAGATAATAACCAAAGTGGCTACATACCTCCTTTTCATTGCAAATTATTCTAAAAATAAACCTGCCACATATAAAGTCATCTATTAACAACTTCACCTTCGGGATGGGTCATAACAATTATGAAATACCAACATAAACCAATATATTTTTTCTCCCAATGATTCCAATAGGTAATGTTCTGTAAACTGATTTCAGCTAAGCATATAAGTAACATCCAAAAATCAACATATGAAGAAAGGACTGTGGCTGTTTGGTTAATGAACTCCCCAAAACTCCCAAAGGAAGAAAGTATAAATAGAAGAAAATAAAAAAGTAATTTCTTAGTGTACATCATCATCTGTTCTCCAGAAATACCTACTGCAGTAAAGCCCTCATGCTGTGGATAAAAATCAGGTTTTAAAAACTTCAGCAATAATCAAAAGATCTGCACCTTACTCTTCAGATTGAATTGACACCAAAAACAATTACATTTGTACATTACACAAAATGTATTTGTGTAAATCAGAAGAAAAAAAAAAAAGAAACAGCCTCAAAATCAATTTGTTTCTAATGAGTAAAGGTCAAGACAACAGCTGTATAAACATTTGGCAATCTAAAGACTCACCTAACTCAAATGCATGAAGCAAAAAAACCATACCTGAAAAAGATATTTCAATGTCTAGTTAAAGCTCTGAAAGTAGTTACTTTGTTCCCTGTAGGAGACCCTAAAACAGGAATCCACAGACTTAAACATCTCTAGATAACTAACACCCTGCAGACCTTCAGTTTCTGCAATTTCATCCTCCAGCTCCACTGATGTGAATAAATGTATAAGTGGTGTGAGCTGAATGCCCAACACCCCAATATCTTTTCCCAGTGTTTGTGCAGCCCTTTCAGATGTGTGCATTCTTTCTCTTTGAGCTCATCCAAATATATTCTAGAAGTGAAAGTGCAGAGCATGAAAACTGAAATTGTATTGCACTAGGAAGAATATTTTTATCCTTCGGCCATCTGTTACTAAGAATGTAAACAATGCAATTTTGGACATTCAGCTATTCTCAATATTCTTCCAGTAATTTCATTAAACATTTACCTTTACTAGCAATCAGTATTTTTAAAGTGTTGCATTCGTGGCCCTAGAAATGTATTCTGCTGCTTCGGTTTTAAACCAGCTGGAACTGCCCCAAAATAAAACTCGATTTTAAGAAATAAGGCATTCCCCAAAACATAAGTGGTAGAAACAGGGTTTGGAATAGTCAAAGAAACTCAATTGTAATTAATGCATATGCACATCTGAGGAGAAAAAGAGAGGTTCAACCACTGTTACTTGCAAAAAGGTCCATAAACACAACTAGAAGAGAACTTGATTAAAAAAGGTGAAACATTTTTCAGTAATGCTCTTACCCAAACAAAATTAATTCAAGTCCTTTAGCAAATCTGACTCAAAACACAGTCTAGACACATTTCATGCACTTCACACTGAACACCAATGTGACACAGTGAAATCATTGTTAGAAGGTGAAGAGCTGTGCAGGCCATCACCAGCCACGAACACAAACACCTGGTCATCTGAAAGGAAGACGGTGACACAGTGCCTCTAACAAACAAGAAAATGTTAGCATTCCTGAGGACTATACAGCATTATGCTTTGGGGGACTTCAGAGACAAATTAATGTCGTTTTGGGTACTGCTGTGCTCACTGGATGACGTGGAAATTTTACAGATGCATCATAACAAGCAAACTAGTACAGCCAGCCTTAATTATAACCCAAGTACTTCACTTTGCATCACAAATACAATTTTTATATGCACTTTCCTATAATTTTTCAAGCTTTCATGTAAGGAACAGAACAAAATTCCTGGAGAACCGTTGTCCAGACTTCCCCTATCGAACGTTTGCAAGGTGAATTGTCCCTGTAGGTGATTATAAGCAAGTAGCAGTTTGTAAATACAAGAGACACATGCACTGTGCATGCCTAAGATGAATGGAAATATCCATCTTGCTTGAGAATCTCACCGATGACATTTGCTTGACAAGAATGCAGCGGGAAGGTTTAAAAATAGTGCATGCAAGTCCAGCTTATTTTAGGTGTCCTGGCACTTGAAGACCCTTTTGCTTTCTATCTCATCTCTTCAAATGCTTCTTACCTGCTGTCCTCATCGCCTGCATCTTTTCAAGCTACCTGCAGCCACTCTTTTTTTAACAATAACTCCTTTTAAGCTCCTAGCAAGCTTTTATCCCTGCTTCTCTCTGGCAACAACTGTTCTTCACGCTGCTTCTGTCTTGTTGCTGCCCCATTCTCCTTTTACAGGCCTTCCTCTTCTGTTCACTTACCCTTCCTGTTCCTTCTATGTACTTCCATTCCTATCACCTACTGTTCACCACACTTCTGTTCTCACACCTCTCTGTCAAGTTTCAAATCTTGGCTCCCACCATTTCTGTAAACCAGTTTTAGTGAAGACAGTCTTCCTTCATAAACTACTTTTTTTATTTTTTAATATATCAGGCATAGCTGAATCAAAAAAACTGGATATGATTTCAGATCCTAAAGCATTCTTTAGCTCACTAAAAGGAAAGAGTTTTACAAAGTGGCTTAGTATTTATTATTATAGGCTTCCAACTGCCATCAGAATTCACACCAGTTTAGGCAAAGTTTTCCAAAAGGTTGGCCCTTTGATCCTTCTTTCTATTGTCTCTCACCTTCTCCTTTAAAACTTCTTATTCTGGTCCTACAGCAGTCTTTGTTTGTTCAGTTTTTTTAACTTTGCTTTGTTAAAAACACTCTGTCCAACCTATCCCAAACCTATCTTGCTTCTGAATCAGAGTTATGCTATGGCACACTTGTGTTTCCCCCTCATCCCCTTTTCAGCACAATCACTTATGGAAGTCTAAAAAACAATTAAGGAGTCAAACACAGGAGATCTAAAGATAGTAAAGAATTCATCTAGAAGGGATATAGAGATCATCTAAACATGAACAATCTACTGGAACTCCTTAATTTAAGATGTAAATCCAATGGTAATAACACAGTGTTCAGGATGCTTCTATAGTCCTCAAAACAAGACATATTCAATAATATTATGAGTGGTTTAGTAAAGTGTTGTGAAGGATGGGACAAAACCTTATTCTGATGCAACTTCATGTAAATTCTTACATACTGTTACAATATCTAAATATGTCAAAGAACAGTCAAAACAATTCCATCATGTATGAAATCAGAAAAACCAGAGTAGTAATTAAAAAAAAAAATCGTTTGCCCCTATGCATAAAATACTTTGAAGCAATCAACATTCAAGTATTTAAAAAAAACCCAAACAAAACACTTTAAACCAGCAATGTTAGAAGAGAGATCAGAGGTGTTTAAGCCTATTATTTCCACTGAAACAGGGAACCTGGCCATTAAATTCTCATCAATCAGTTGCATCAAAAGAAGTCCATGTCACGTATTGTGTGTACACACGCACAGTTACAGGATACACGAGCACAAAACACGAACACACCAACAGCATCCAACAACTCCCAGAACAAATGACACACATCAGCATGCTGGCACACTCGGTGGCAAACCCTTTTCTTGCTGGGCAGACTTTATCAGGGAAGAGACGCAGAATATTCGCCGGTTCCAGCTCCTACAATCATCCAACAACACTCCATTACCACAGAGAGCTCAGAACTTAATGCTTTGTAAGTTCACTTAACTGAAGCAATCATAGGAAATCTTACCATTCTTACTATTTGTCCCAGCAGTTTTCTTCGAGCATTACACTCTTCAGGCTTGAGCACAACCATTACAAATATCTCCACCTAGAACGCTTTCATAAATAAAATTACCACAGCTGTGTGGGGTCTGCTGCCCTGAAAACCATACAGGGGAGCTTACAAAGTATACCTACAATGGGAACAGAGAAGTATTACACTTCTTACACTGCAAAGACTTAGTGCATCCTGTTCAGACAGGACGAATTTTTAAGTCTGTGACATCTGAGAACCCTGTTCAACAACACTGTATCTCAAGAGTTGCCCAGATGATCAGAGTTTGGACTTTGGATCGTATTTTTTTGGTATTAACAGAGCTAGTTTCTTCTTCTTTAAATACCCTAACTATAAAAATTTTTAAAAAATATGATAAATGTGATAAATTGGTCAGTGAGTACAGGGAGCATGCAGAGACTCCCTCTATTTTGCAGGATTCAAAACTTTCCCTTCCTATCATGTTGTTCTGACTTTTACAGATGCTGATGTCTTTTCTGCAGCTCATACAACAGGTACACACCACCCACCTTTGCTTTGCAAAGGCATTAACTCTCAGACTTTCCTGCTATGTCTTAACAGAAAACTGTATTTCCAATTTGTTTGCATTTTAACCTATGTTAAAGCACAATAACACTCAGCAAGACAAAATACATATGTTATAGACTACTAACAAGTTAGTAGTGCAAGTGCATTGTCCTCAAACTTTTGAGCTCAGCAATGTTCTCTTTCAATTATCTTTTAAGTAACTACTGATTAGAGGACATAATCATATCTAGCTAGCACAGCAAGCACCTGATTTTCATTCTATTTATTTTTCCTTCTGTTTATTTTGAGGAAAAAACAAAAAAAACAAAGTTCAAAGAGTTTAACCCTGTTTTCTTGTTCAGCTCAGCTGAGTAGCCCAAATCCAACACAGCATCTGAACCCATGCTAAAAAGATGGGAGTGTTGGATGCTTTTGTGTGCAGTTATACTTGCATGATTTCAAACACTTCAGAACTCATCTTGATGCGAACGTGTTTTTAAGCAATGAGAAATAATAGTAATTCATTTCTTAGCCAGTATAGATCTCATTTTGCTGATCTCTAATAGACTTGGTACTTTTTTTTTTTTTTAATCAGTAGTGTCACAAATCAATCATTCAAATATTTCAGTGCACTGAATCTTCAAAATCGCTGTTAGAATACCTATTTGCCAGAAAAAGACCTCAGGAATGTTTTATATTATACAGTGGCATGAAGAAAAGATCACTATGTGCATCTAATTAAATAATATGGTATTTACATACCTTAAGGTAGACAGAATAGAGCAAAAAATGAGGATAAAAAAATCTACTTATTGTCAGTGGAGAACACTGACAATAAGAAAAACCAGAAAACAGCTGATTTATCACTAGCAATTTACACATCAATTTACAGTTTAATAGCTATAGGGGAAAACAGAAGAAAACATGAAAAACAGTCACCTCTGTAACCGTAATTTCACCACAATTTTTTATTCTCAAAAATGCAGAATTCAGTGAGGCAGTGCAAACACTTAGATGTCATTCACACTGCTTCAAAAAGAGCCTCTGACATTACTTACCTTTGCTGAATTTTTATTTCCTATGCAGTGGTGAAGGGGTTTGTGGGAGAGAAAGGAACACAGAAGCTTTAGATTGGCAGCTGTTATGATTTATCCTTCTTTCTAACGCATCAGAAAAACCTCCAATGAAATCCAAACTTTGAGTTAGAGCTCAAACTGAGGGAGAACAGCAGCTACTGGTTTTATCTCTCTTTTCTATTTTTTTAAATGGTACGGTCACCATCTCCTCCTCAAGTTTATAATAACTCATTTTGAACCATTTTTAAGTCCTAAATACATTTAGCATGCCATTAACCACAGGTTCTTCTGCCTGCCTCGGGCATTGGAGGTCTGTGTCTCCTCCTGGTGTTTACAAGTTTCTTCACCCTAGACAGTGTCCAACTTCTCCACCATTTCAAATCATCAGAACTACAATTATTGTTCATCTTGCATGTGATTTTACCATACTAAATAAAAATTGCATCTTGAGGAATCAAATAACAAAACAAAGTCAGTACATATATCCTCCTTATTATCTGTCACCTTTGTGATACCACTCTCTTCTGTGCCAATCATTTTCTCCTGGGTATATAAAATAATGTAATTAAAAAAACCCTCACAGGATAAAAGACAAATGAAAAAAAACTGCCTCAGAAATATTTAATAGGCTACAGAAGTAGAGCAGGAGTGTAAAAGGATGGGAATAGATCAGCTGCAACACATGTAAGGCCTTCAACAGGACAGACTTTTTGAGCAACAGAACAAAGAAACTTCTTGATTCAGTACAGTGTGTTCACTTGTCTTCCACAGAAACTGATATGTCTGTCACCACAACTGCTTTACACTTTTATCTGAGTTCAGACAACAAACATTTGACTCTCTTCTCTTCACGAGATTTGGCTGAAAAGCTCTTGGGGCAAGATTCCTAAGTTTTCCCTTGGAGAGGGAAGAGTTAAACCAGTGAAGAATATGTAGTATTAGAACAGTGATTTCCTAAGCAGTTCAGTTCTTCTGATGGAACACCCTGAAGCACCAGTGTTGGATAAGTTTTGTCCAGAGCTGCACAAAGGGAACCAGCTGGAAAAAACAGTCAGCACAGGAAAGAAAAATTTTGTCTCTTCTTTCCTCCTGTGCAACTCATTAAATCTGCACAAATAGCCAAATTTCTGCAGCCAGAACTGAGCATGCACTTGTATCCTGCTCTCTCAAAGCAGAAAAACACCACCTTAGACACTGAACTGTGAAACAGCCTTCATGCTCCAAAAAAAAAAAAAAGTATGTGTAGAGTGAAAAATTATCTGCATGCAAGAAATCTTACTATGATTTTTCTTTCATTTAAGTTCCTCTTAAAATAGACTTAAATGAATTTTGTATATTGTTCATTCCACAGATAAGGGGCAGAATTAACACAGACACAGGTCAGATTTGGAGTCAAGATCAATTAAGAGCCATTCTGTCTTTCAAGGCAAAACACAAAAGAATGTTATTTTAAATTACTAACTGCTACCTAAAAAAATACATACCCAAACCTTCTGATTCAAACAGGCAGGTGTCATCCACGCCTACATCTCTGCACCAGGATAAGAAATTTGCTGTGTTGTCCCGTGCAAAAAAAGACCCTGAAGGAGCATTGGCTTTGCATGGAATCTTCCGAACAGGTAAAGTCTGCAAAACAGAAAAAATTCTCTGTTTAGATAAAATGATACATCCTGGCATAATACTTAAATATTATGAAATCAACATGCAGTTTTTGCACAGGTGGGCGACTCTCACCCATGCACTGCCTTGGCCATTAAAGAATCCCTAGCAAAGAAGCACGAGAAGTGAATTTAACAGCACAACAAGCTCTCAACCACAAGATCTCCCCAAAAAGCATCATTATAGTCCACGCCACGTGAAGCTGAGAGCTGAACCAGAGTTAGTTACTTCTTAGGAATATTAGCAACTACAGTTTTGGGATTTACTGTTTGGTCCAGTTCAATGAATTAAAAAAAAAATAAAAAAATTGAAAATTCATGAAGACAGACCTTAGGAACTGAACTTTGGCGCAATTAAGGTTGAATTAGTTTCACTTCTAAGTTAGGAGGGAATCAGAGCAAAGGAAGAGGTCTGTCTCCATCTTAACAACACACAAAAGCCACCTGTGCTCGGCACAGAAATGTAAATTTAGTAGCTACAAGCTAACACGGGCTCTCACTGGACCAGAGTAGTTCCATTTACATGATTTTGATATCAGAGAGGATGCAACTGATACAGCATCAATACCTGAACCACAGTAATTACCGCTGCAATCATTTTGCTCATATTGGTACTTTTATTGAGACATCTACAAAGAAGACCTGAGCATTCAGTTCTCACTTAAGGTTTCTTTTCCTCAAATAAAAAGCAGCTGTAATTCGTGGCAAAATGATCATTCTTAGATGTCAGTATTTAAAGAGAGCTTAGAAGGAATTGATATATCATATTAGACACTTGACAGTGGTGATGTTATGGCAGAATACACAGAGCTACTCACCACTATTTACCCAACCAATTAAATAAACTGCAAATAGAACAACTGCAGGGATAAACACCATTCTACTTATTTTATTGGTGTGTCAGTGGGAACTTAGAAATTGTCTCAGATGTATAAACGTGTCTTACAGGTCTATGCATTTGGAACTATTCCTCAAATCACCATCTAGCTGTCATCCCCCCATGATTCTTACTCCAATTACACGATTTACACTTCCTGGCTTGTCAAAAATGATGCTTGTGGTTCAAAATATTTGCAAGGTGATGTTAATATTTTTCTATAATGTGTTATAAAACACTGACCATTTGGAAACAATATTTTAAAGAAAAATCCAAGTAAACCTTGTGTCACAGACACCATATCACCTCCTGGAACAAGAGAGGGGAAGGAGGAAGAAAGTAGGGAAGTAAAAACAGTTGTTCTCTAATCCAGAATAAATAAAAAAACTATGAAACCTGAAGTCTTTCAAGGGGCTCTAGATATGGAAAAACCTTATAGATCAGAGCACAATGAAGCTTTTAACATTAGTTTTATCTCCTTTCCATTCTTCTGGGAGAAAAAAAAAAAAGGTGAAAAAAACCCCTCTCAGTTCCTCACAGAACAGAGATTCTCTTTTCTTAAAAAAAAACCCCTAATAAAAAGTTGTTAGCACTAGACATGTTTCAAGACTAGCACCCTTTTCACATCACCCTAATTTCTTCAAAGAAACAATGAGTATCTGTATCCTAAGGCAAATTCTTACTATGCTCGACAGACTCCTTCACATGTTGAATTTCCTCTGGTTGACTCAGTCTTTACGAAGAAGTAATGCAGCACTTGTCTGTCTCTCTCTGCCCCTGTGTCCTTTCCCAGGAGACTTTAATTGGACAAGTCTAATAATCTTTAAAGAGCACCCACTTCTTTGAAGGGGAGTCACACAAAAGTCTCTGGCAGCCTGCTGGAGGAAGGTCACCAAGTCCAGCCTGCATCCAAAGGAAAGCTGTCAAAACAAGGCTTCTGTCTGATGATTTTCATCTAAATCTTACACAAAACATTTAAGCAACCTTAAACTTTCTTCAAAATAATTTCCAAGGGGTCTAAGCTGACCTTACCTCCTCCAGTCCAGAAGAGGAACAAGCACTGTGGGCAGGGATGTTTCACTGGTACAAAGCAAGATGGGAAACAGGTGGAGAGCAGCAGGAGCTGGGCTGTGCCATGAGTGAAAATAAACCAGGATGAGCCCAGTACAGGCAGTGGCAGCCCTCACTGGCCATGATGCAGTCCTGACACCAATTACTGTGTGATTTTTAGTGTTTCAGTGGAATCAGTTCCTTCAGAAATACACAGCTGGTTTAGAATTAACCCCAACTGGTTGGTAGATTCAAGGAGGTGCCATTTCATAGCACTGTGTCTTAATCTAGTCACATAAAACATCCACTGTACCTACAACACATTTGATCATATTCTGACCGAATCAAACGACCAGCAGCTGTAAATCGGTCTAACAACCTGAAAATCAAACAGAATGAACTTCTTTTCTGATATCATCTCTGCCTGGACCAGATCATCTGCAGTGGATGCTGACCCAACTGAGTAAATAGGTCAAGGGGACCACACAAATTATATCTGGCACAACTACGCTCTTTGGAATTTTTTGATTGATTATGTCCAATTTAAAGCACAAATCCTGGATTAACAGCACTGTGACAAAGATGACAAAAAGCCAGCTCCAGTATTCCTGGCACTTGCAGACTTGTGCATAAGGTACTTCAGAGAGCACAGAAAGGGAATAAGGCTACAGTTAATTTACATGTGAGAGCAGACCTGCAGTGTCAGATCATGTCACCTCCCAGTTCCCTCTTCAGTTCTCATCTCTGGGTTTTCCACAGTGTCCATGTGTTACTTTGCTCTCAGGCTTGCCTTTGCAGAAAACCAGCAAGTCTTCTCTGAGAAAAAAAGCTGTTTCTAATGCCAGGAACAGCTCAGAGGGGGATTACAGGTGAATCATACTGGGTTTGTTTTGCTTCCACGCAGTTCTCCAGCTCCAGATGATGATTCTGTGCCTTTGAACTGCTTTGCCCTGCCACAGCCCCTGATAAACAGCCTATGTTATTTCATGTCCTGCTAAGGGTATTAAACAATGTTCTGGAAGTCTGTGATAAACCACTCATACTATTTCAGAACATCTGAACAACAACAACAACAACAAAAAACTAAAATCAAACCAAGCCAAGCAACAACAACCAAAAACTACCGTGCTACACGACTGGTGGCTGCCATCTGGCAATCAGAGGAGACTTGGACTCAGGATGGGCACAACCCATCTGCTCTCTCCTGGGCCCTGAGCCCAGTGGGCACAAATAAGCCCCTGGCACAAACTCCTGCTTTTCCCCTGGGTTGCTGCTGCTCCCCAGTACCAATGACACACTAATAAATCTGGTCCTAAATGTATCTCCTGATTTAGGTATATCACAGTGAGGGAATATAGAATTTCTTTCAAGAAGACCAATTTGGAACAGACACTTTACGTGTCAGAAATCATCTGAAATTTCATGCACGTGACAGACTATCCACAAATTATGTTTCTATACTTTGACAACTAAGATGGACCTCTAAACACACCTAGTTAACTTGGCTTCACTATGAAGCCTAGACATTCATGGAACTTGCAACATTTCTTTTACAATTATGAGGATCACAGTGTTTTTTAGAAGTACGTTTTTGGTAGTAAGAGTGTGGTACAGAACACCAGAGTTAACTACGCAGATTTGTGATGTTCTCTAGTTTTATAGGGACAGGAAAAAAAATCTTGATTAACAGATGTCCCAAACAACTCAGAAGTGACAAACACCCAAATATAAAAACAAGACACAGAAGGCAAAACCTCCTGCTTTATTGAAGGACAAAAAAAAAAGAAAATCTTTAAGTAATTTTCTGGAGCACATACTACACACATAAATATTCACAGCATCACATGATCTCACTAAAAATGCAGCATTTTAAATTTCATACCACTTCCCACAATATTAGGGTCTTGTTGAAGAGAACAGCAAAAAAAAAAAAACCCTACCCTCTTTTCTGTTCAATAATACCACCACCAGGTTTATCATACAAGTCATAGAGAAATACTCATATTTTCTTATCACCTAATAAATTTCCCTACCACCTTTTAAATAGAAGTCCACTTTTTCTTCGATATTTCCAAAACTGTCGCCGTAATGTTCAAATGAAAGCTCTTATTTAAGGAGGGTTTCGTGCACAAATATCTTTTTACCGATTTTTTTTAAAAAATGGCCTGACTATTTCAAAAGTGCTCTCTGACAGATCATTCTGAAGTAATTAGGTTTCCATATGGCAGGACTGACTTTTGTTGACATAGTATAGTATAACCGCAGTTGCTTTGAAACAGCAGTGGCCGCAATTACTCCTATCAAATATCACGAAAACAATTCCCCAGTCACACTCCTTTTACAATCTTGTCTTGTTGACGTGCATGCATGTGGTTTAATGCAGGATGTGAAAGTGTGAGTGAAACACATGATGCAATCCTGGAAAAATGCTGTCAGGTTTGCTTTTAAACCCGAAAGTGACTCTCTCTTAACCAATGCTCTGAAATCACACGGAAAAATGTGGGGTTTGTGCCGCTTTTTCACAACAAGGGTTCACGAATACATTTAAAAAAAAAAAAAAAAGGCATTTATTTAAGAAGACTTAAGATTTGAGCCAAATTTTGAAGATTCCTAATCATATTTCCCCTCTGTGAATAGATGACTTGACAACTTTTTGAACTGTCACTTACTCTTAAATAAAAAGAAAAAGAGGAGTAAGTTTGTCTGCTACGAAAAAGTGTTACAGTTAGTGTTGTGGTTTCTTCTTAAAATCTCAATTAGCTCTTTAGGATAGGGAATGGATAAGAGAAGCTCTGCCACAATCTTCTCTGTCAACATTATTTTGCTCTGTCTTTCATTAATTTGTTGAACATAAGTCAACTGGGGCTCATTGCTACAAGAACTTACTCTTATTGAGCAGTTACAATTCCCCTCACTACAGAGTGACCATCCTTTATTCAGTTGCTGTTCTTAATTCTTTAGGAACTCAAACATAAAGTACTTCAGATCCCATTTATAAACCACAAAAGGGCTGTTCAGACACTGGTTTCAGGAAGGGAAGG